CCACGCAGCCTCGTGCTGCAGCGCTGCGACCTGCTGTCGGGGCTGCGCGTGCACGGCGTCGTCTTCGAAGATGACTCGCGCGCGCCCGCCGTCGCGCCCATCCTCGACTTCCTGTCGGCTCAGACCTCGCTGCCCATCGTGGCCGTGCACGGCGGAGCCGCGCTCGTGCTCACACCAAAGGTGCGCGCGCCGGAGAACGTGGCTCCGGGGGGGGCCTGTGGGCGGGGCTTCTGGGGCCGAGGTAGGGCCTAGGTGAGAGGCCGGGCTAGCTTGACCTAGGGGGTCACCTGGAAGAAGGGTCGGAGGGTGGCGGGCAAGGATCAGAGCATGGGAAGGACGTAGGCCCCATTATGTAGGTGAGGGATGGCGGAAGAGTGGGATCTGGGATTGGCGAGAAGAGTTAGTCAGTTGGACAGAAAGCGGCGAAGTCTAGAGGGGAGGTGGGTCTAGGAAGGCAGGGATAGGAGCCAGGTACTGAAGGACAGGGTCTGGAGAGGGAACGGTCAGCTGAGCAGTCTGGAGGTCTAAGGAGGAAAGCAGAGCTATCCAGCAAAAGGAGTCTGAGGAGAAGAGTCATCTATGAGACAAGAACGAGGAAGGCCAGGGAGAAGAGTGATTTAAGGGGAGACCAGCCAGGGAAGGGGCGGGGCCAGCAGTGAGGGGCGGGGAAGAGGCGGGGCCTCACACTGTGATGGAAGGGTGGTCCGGGGGTAGAGATTGGCAAGGGGCCCTGCCCAGTTTTGTTTGTGGAAGTGGGAAGATGAAGGCCTACGTTGAGGAAGGCCCAGTTAATGAAAGGTCAGAGCCAGAAGCCTTCAGGGCAGAGGGGTGCAAGCCTGGAGCCGGCATGGCTTGCAGAGGAGAGGCCAGCTGTAGTAGACTAGAGCAAGTCTGGTCTGGGAATGAAGACAGGGAAGGCCAAGAGGCGGGGCTTGAGAAACGGGGGGCTCTATTAGAGGCGGAGCCAGTGGAAGCATGAGGTGTGATTCGCTGGGTGACGGAGCACTTGAATGGGTGGAACCCAAATGGGCCAATTTCTTGCTGTGAGGGTGGATGGTTGGCTTTGTGACTGGATCATTATTGCATGCTGGGATTCGTAGTTCTCCTGTCCCAAGCCTTCTGGGAAGGACTCCTGGCCCAGCTTTCTCGTTCTCCTTGGCATGACGTTGTCCAAAGATTTGTAGGCAGAGCTGTGGACCTAGGAAGTGAAGATACTATTTCCTGGCTGCCATCTCCGTAGAATAACCAGATGTGTGGTCCTTCATGCTGCCAATTGTAGCTAAGCGTGGTCTACTCCATTTCACTCTCTGCTGGACACTGTAGTCCACTTAGCATACGATCCATTGCCTTCAAGGAAGTGTAGTCCATTTGGTATCCCTGTATGAGAGAATATGGTCCTCCCAGCTCCATCTGTGTGCCATTGACTGCATGGCATATGGTCCCCTCCACACACTTACACCCGCTGAAATGTGAGGGGCCCATCTTCCCACTGCATGCCAGGAGATCTTTTGTCCTCTACCTGTACAACCACGGGCACATGTCTAGTGTGACAGAGTCTGCTTGCTGTTCACACTGCGCCACAGGAAGGCTGGTTGAGGACTGATTTTGTGCCAGGGCCACTTTAGGTTCTGGGGAGTTAAACTGAGAGGAGAGAGAACAAGTCCCTGCCCTATGGAGCTTGAATTCTAATAAAGGAAAGAGACAAGACAAGCCACAGAGAGTAAACTTGGTCCTGGAGGAAACTGACCAGATGCTGTAACAACTGAGGCAGGGATTCCAAAGATGGTGGTCAGGAGAGGCTTGACCAGACCTGAGGAATGGGAGGGGCAAGCCAGGCACAGAGGAGCTGGCGAAGGTGTCCTGGGAGGGGTGACAGCTAAGGGCAAAGGTCCTACAGCCAGGAAGAGCTTGGTATGTTTGTGGAAGAGCAAGGAGAGGTGTGCCGGAGCCAGTGGGTGTTAGGGATGGCAGTGGATCAGGGCTGAGCCCGGTTCACGCAGGGCCTTCTGGGCGACGGAGAGACTCTGGCTTTGATTCTAAAGAAGAACCATTGGAAGCCTCTCAACTGAGAAGGGATGTGATCCAATTAATATTTTGAAATGATCGCTGAGGCTGCTGTTTGGAGAATAGACCAGAAGATGCAAGAGTGGAAGCAGAGATGGGTTGGAAAGTGTAGGAGTCCAGATAAGAGAAAAATGATGGCAGTGAGGGTCGTGACAGTGGTGACAGGTGAAGTTGACAAATAGGTAATGTTGGAATGTAGAGCTGAGAAGACCTGGAAAAGGCCTGAGTGTTTGTGGGAGTGAAGGAAAGAAAAGGCGTCTAGAAAAAGGAAGGAAGGAAGACAGGGAGCAGGTCTGAGGCAGGTAGGGGAGCTCAAGAATTCTATTTTACTGAGTGTGGTGGCATACACCTATGATTTGTAATCCCAGCTACTCCGATAAAGGATGTATCAGCTACTAAGCTGATAAAAATGAATACTACACTGAGCCAAAAGGCCAAGAAGCGATAATCTCAGCTACTCTGCAGGCTGAGGCAGGAGGATTGAAAGTTTGAGGCTAGCTTGGATAAGTTAGCATGACCCTGTCTCAAAATAAAAAATTAAAAGGGCTGAGGATTTAGGTCAGTGTGGTTCATAGTGGGACCCCCAGCTGGCTGGAGACAGGAGCTCGGGGGCCCCCAGGGAGTCCCTTCTTCTTCTGGGAGACACCTCACTGCCTGCAGGGCTGTTTGCAGTGTGCTCAGCTAGCTGGCAGTACCATCCCCCCTAAAAAAAAATCAGTTTTTGACATACTAATTTTGAGATGTTTTTGAAAATCCAAGTGGAGATTTTGACTAGACAGGGATAGGTCTGTCTGGAGCTCATGAGAGCATCTGTGACTGGGAATAGGAGCCCTCAGGATAACCTGCCACATCCAATGGAACTCCCTGCAATAATGAAGATACTGCATATCTGCTCTGTCCAACAACACAGCCACACACTACGTGTGGCTATCAAACTCTTAATGTGTGGTTAGCAGGACTGGAGAACTAAGTTTTCAATTTTATTTAATTTTAATGAATTTAAATTTGAATAAATACATATGTCTACCATATTGGACAGTGTGGGGAGACAGTATTTAAAGCTATGGGCCTGGATGACCTAACTGGAGGACAAAGAAGAAAAAAGAAGGTGGTGGGGAGCGCTACACCATAGAATTTAGCATTCTGGAGAAAGAGGGACCAGTAAAGAAGACAGAGAAGGAGGAGAAGGGGAAATATGACAAAAATCAAAGGGAAAAGTCCACTCCTCTTGGAGATAGGGTACCTGCGCTGCATGCTGGGAGTGTAGTCTCCTTTGCCGCACAAACAGTCCCTCTCAGTGCATGCTGGGAGTTGTAGTTCCCTCAGTGGTTGCTGGGTGTATTAATGACAGTGATGTTAGCTGCCGAGTCCACACCCTAACCTAACAAAAACCCTCAAATCACTGCAGCTCAACCCAGTACTGTAGGTTGTTTCTCATTCATATAAAATCCAAACAGGTGGTCTTGTATGGAGCTGGCTGTCCTCCACATGGTGGCTCAGAGACTCGGGCTCTCCCCGGCTCCTTTCCACCCCTCTCTCTCTTTCCTTCTTTATTTTTTTCTTTCAACAAGGTGTCACTAATGTAGTTTAGGCTGGCCTTGAGCTTGCAAGGATCCTTCTGACTCAGCCTCCCCAGTGCGGAGATTGCAGGCCTGCACCAGCACTCCTGGCTTCATGTGGGAAGTTCTTAGAAGTGGGCCCCAGAGAACTCAGTCATGTGGCTAAACCTAAGGCAGTTAGCCTGCTCTCTAGAGCTGGGACCAGCCATTGTCACTGGGAACTGCTGTGTGCAGCATTCGCTGCTGGGGTATGAGGACCCCTGTGGGGAGGCTGATGAGCCCCTGTTCCCCCGCAGGAGAAGGGCTCCACCTTCCTGCAGCTGGGCTCCTCTACCGAGCAGCAGCTACAGGTCATCTTTGAGGTGCTGGAGGAGTACGACTGGACGTCCTTCGTGGCGGTGACCACGCGTGCCCCCGGCCACCGCGCCTTCCTGTCCTACATCGAGGTGCTGACCGACGGCAGCCTGGTGGGCTGGGAGCACCGCGGGGCTCTGACTCTGGACCCAGGCGTGGGCGAGGCCGTGCTGGGCGCGCAGCTTCGCAGCGTCAGTGCGCAGATCCGTCTGCTCTTCTGCGCGCGCGAGGAGGCCGAGCCTGTGTTCCGGGCAGCCGAGGAGGCCGGCCTCACCGGGCCCGGCTACGTGTGGTTCATGGTGGGCCCCCAGCTGGCCGGAGGCGGGGGCTCAGGGGCCCCCGGGGAGCCCCTTCTTCTGCCAGGAGGCTCCCCACTGCCCGCAGGGCTGTTTGCAGTGCGCTCAGCTGGCTGGCGGGATGACTTGGCCCGGCGTGTGGCAGCTGGGGTGGCTGTGGTGGCCAGAGGTGCCCAGGCCCTGCTGCGAGACTACGGCTTCCTGCCCGAGCTGGGCCACGACTGCCGCGCCCAGAACCGCACCCACCGCGGGGAGAGTCTGCATCGGTGAGCGGGTACTGGGGGAAGGGGCGAGGAGAGGCTGGTGTCCACACCCTAACCTAACCCGTGCCCTTACCCTAAGTCCCACCCTGTGTGACCCTCAGGATCCTTTTCTGTAAAATCAGTGTATGAAGGGTGATGGGAAAAATATGTTGAATGTTTAATATTTTAAAACCTTAGGCCGGGGATTTAGCTCAGTGATTCGGTGGCCTGCCTCGCAAGCGCAAGGACCAGAGTTTGATCCCCGGTACCAAAAAAAAATTTTAAACCTTAGCTGTGCGTGGTGGTGGTGGTGCACTGAGGCAGAAGAATTGAGGGTGAAGCAGAGGCAGGAAGACTGCCTCCAAAGCCTCGAAAAAGAAAAATAAATGAATACCATAAAAGATACTTTGCCATTAGCCCCCCCTCAAAATCTTCCCCTCGCTTTGGGCACACTCATCATTCTTGCTGCTTTCTGAAGAAGTTCTGGATGTCTTCTTTCATAAATGTTGTTAGTTGCACAGTCGTGGCTGCTTCGATGTGGTGAATTGACTCAAGATGTTTACCTTTCTGGTTATTCTGACTTTAAGGAAGATGCAAAAGTCACAGGGTGTCAGATCTGGTGAATGAAGACACACTGTCGTGTTCTTACAAGCCTACCGTTCCCTTGTCACTTAGTAAGATTCCCTGTGTTTTTTTATTGCACCTTGTAAAGACACACTGCCAGAACTGCTTCCAAAAGTGGCCAGAAAGTTGGGATTAGTGTGTTTGAAGTGGAGGGTGGGGGAGAATTTTGAGAGGGATTAATGGCAATGTGCTTCTAATGTAGTAAAAATGTTTGAATTTAAACATTCACCATATTTCTCAAGCAGCTTTTTTTTTTTAAAACCATCCTTTCTCTCTCTCTCTCTCTGTCTCTCTCTCTCAACCATCCCTTTTAACTGGATTTCTTTTCTGGGATTAAATCAAGTAATTTGAAAAGCACCTGGTATACTGTGAGTGCATTACTACATGTAAGATGCATAATATTTCACATTTTAATGTCTTTGAGGGCTGGGGATTTAGCTCAGTAGTGCTGCTGCCTGACTGGCAAGCACAAGGTCCTGAGTTCAATCCCCAGTACCAAACAAAGCAAAACAAAATAAAGTCTTTGAAATCAAGATGTATCTTACAATAGATGATTTATTAGATATTTTTTTAATTGGGTCTTGCTATGTAGCTCAGGCTGGTCTTGAACTTACTGTGTAACTCAGGCTGGCTTCAAACTCACAGTAACCCTCCTGTGTCGGCCTCCTGACAGCACAATGACTGGCTACGTCTTATAATTTAGATAGGATCCTAGTGGGATTGTAAACTGAGCTTCAGTAACGAAAAGACCCGATTATCCAGTGGCTCGCAGAAGTAGAATTGCGTTTCTCTGTCATATGACAACCAAGAAATGAGTGGTCTGGATCACCAGGACCCCAAGACCTCCTACTTGTTGCTCAGGCATCTCCCCACGGTCTAAACTGGGTTTTGAGCATCGCTGAATGGTCCTAGTACATGAGAAGGGAGGAAGAGGAAGTGAGGAGTGAGCAATTTCCTTTTAAGTGAAGTGTAAGGGACAGGTCTCGCATCCTATTGGCGAGAATGGGATCACGTGGTCAGGACTGCGCCGTGGTTGTTTACAGCGATCTCCATTCTGATTGGCTGGTGGCAGTACTGTACTGATTGTTAGAGGATTTGAATGCTACCCCTGCCCATGGCCGGAGGTACCTGCAGGAAGGATGGGAACCGTGGACCGTAGCTCTGTGGCCATGTTCCCAGTTTACACATTATGATTTTTTGGTGGAAAACAGCATCTCCACCATGGGAGAGCTGTGAGTGTGGGGAAACTGAAGAGTTCGGCGATAGAACAGTGGGAGGAGAGGTCATTAATCCTGAAATGAGTTGCATTTGGGAGGAGGTGATGGGTGGGGAAGAAGACCCAGGGGAAGAGAACTGAGAACTGTTGGGGCTCTGGATCCCAGAACACCTGCCAGGAACGAGGGCTCATGCTGGGTGCTGGGAATAGAGAGATGAATAAGACCACGGGCTTCTTCAAAGAACACAGGGTCCTGGAGAGGTGGCAGCCAGGGATGGGGATAATGACAGTGCAGTGTGACGCTTGCAGTAATGGAAGTGGCACTGGCCTTGCAGGAGCACAGCGGAGGATTCTGTCTAAGCCAGGGCACTTCTGGCGGCAAGGAGCCAAGTCTCGTTTCAGTTTCCTCAGGGAAAAAGGGGCTTATTGGAAAGATAAACAGGCACAGAAACAGAGATCAAGAATCGAGGCCAAGCCTAGGCCCAGCCACATTCATCTCTTTCGAATCTATCTTTCTTATTCTCCCCTCCTCTCTGTCTTTCTCTCAGGCTTGCCTCTCCTGGGGCTGCTCAGTTCTTCATCTAGAGTCTCTGTTCCCTCAGAACTTCAGCCTTTCCTGGCAACCATACAACCCTGCAATCTCAGAGTTAAATGACATCCCAAGAGGGGACGCTGATTGATCCCAGTCTGCCTTCTAAAGCAGGACACTCAAGTCAGAACTCAGCTTAGGGGGTCAGGGAAGTTTCCAGGAGGAGCCTGAGACCTGACTCACGCT